TCGGCGCCTGTCGCTTGTCGCCTCCGCTTGCGCCTCAGAAGGCGTATGCGCACTCCAGGCGCGGGTGAATCCGCCCTTCGGCGCCGCCCATCTGCCTTACTAGCACCGTAGGATCTTGCTCTTGCACGAGGATTCTGCAGTTTCTCAGGTGCAGCCTTCCTGAGCGATTGGTCTCGACGTGTTTGCACCGCATTCTCGAGGAGATAGTGTTCACCTCCTCATCCCAGATCGCGAACGCTCGGGATCCACGCTCCATGTTGGACAAGCGAGAGTATTTAGCCCGTAGTTTGTATGATTAGACATGTACTCGCCAGCCAGCGGTGCTGTGCAGAGCTTGGCGATGTTGCTGACAGAGTCGGTAGATATCCTCAGCCGGGCATCCACCGTGCTTCTGTGCCGCAGATCCCAAGCGACGCCACCGGTGCAGGCGATTGAGAACCCACCCCTGAGGCGAGACCTTCGTCGCCCTGTCCAAGGCGCACTTCCATCGCAGCATCGATGCCGCGACCGTTCGAGTTGCCCAACACTAGCGCGGCCGCGCCACGTGACCCAGCGCCCAGCTCGCCGTTGCAAGTGGGCGCGCCGCCAGACGTGGAGCGAAGTGCGCAATCGACAGTCGCCGCCATGTTTTTGGGCGCCATGTAACATGTGCTAAGACTCGAATGGAACATGGCTCGCGGAGCTCTTGCGTGGGTGCATGCTGCAGTGGGCGCAGCCTGTCCAGCCGCGACCTTCAGCAGAGCAAGTAGCTCTACCGCGCGCCCTCTCGGGCCCCCCGCCCACGCCTGGCCCTGGCCCCTCCGCGGATGCCGTGGCATCGCCCGTGCGTGCGGGGCGCGTGGAACACCGGCTGCTTCTTTTTTCTCGTGGGATCCACGGGCGCCTGTGCAAAGGGGCATCCCGTGGCGCGATCGGTCGGCCTGCAGCGAGAAGACAATTCAGGCCAGCCCAGTGGTGCTCGCCGCCGGCAGGGGCATCGAGGTGCCAGAGCGGCGCTCGGAGCAAGGCGCCTGGGTGGATCCTTTTCGCGAGCGCGTGCCCCGGAGGGCGCGGGCGGGCTGGGGTGGGCCGGGGCGGGCCGCGCGCGCGGGAGGGCGACGCGGGCAGTGCCTAGCGCGCGGGAGGGCGATGCCATCGTTGTCAGCTCTGCTCGCAGCGCATCGTCGTAAGGGAGGGCGGTGTCCGCTGGAAGCGAATCGGTCGAGCTCCGCGCTCGAAATGAAGCGGCCCGGATGCGCCGCCGCTTCCGCGCCGCCGCAGGGGTCCATCGCGCAAGTCTTCGCGGTGCATAGCAGGCCGGCGCGGGCAGTAAAACCCTGGTCAGCCGATGCGCGCTGGAAGACGTTGCAGTCCAATGCCGAATCTCAGCCCCTTTCTCACATGCTGCCAGCTGGCTGACAGTTTTCCCGAGGCCCAGAATTAGCATCGCTTCCCAGACACTGTCCATGGCGCCGCGCAGACAATCCGGAGCGACGTGAGCTTCGGCTTAATTAAGCAAGCTAGACTGCTTTCCGACGTCCGTATACTCGCGCTGGCACCAGCGGCGGAGCGGCCCAGGGCAACGTTTCGCATTGTCCATCGTCGCGTTCGGCGCTGCCCATGCGTGGCAGCGCGCGTTCCCCGTGTGCGCGGTCGGCCATGTACTCCTTCATGTTGGAAAGCTTTCGGCCCCAACATCCGGTGAGTATGGGCACGGCATTCCGGCGCCGATGTCGGCGATCCAGTCCGGTTTTTCTCGGTGCGTCCGAGGAAGCAGGCGCGCAGGCATCGTTGGCGTTCTGTCGTCGTCGAAACGCGGAGAAGCTGGGGTTCCCCCGTCCGCCGCCAGGCCCGCGCTGGACGGGCCAGGCAGGCCCCCCCGCGGCGCGCGGGGCTTCAACTGGGCGCGCATTGCGGGTCACTCGGCAGACCCGCCGGGCGATTGGGCGGCAGTCGTGGCCTGGCTCGTCGCCGGGGTCTACTCGTCGCCGCCCCTTTGCTCGGCCCGCGGCTCGCACTCGCGCGCGTCTTCGATTTCCGTGGGAGTTTCATAGAAACGCCTGGAGTGCTCTGGGCCCCTGCGCTCGGCGAGGGCCCCAGGGCGCGCCTGCCGCTGGCGCGCGTCATTCTGTCCCGTGGGGCAGGCGCTCGCGGCTCGCGCATCGCCTGGCGCGACGTTCTGCATCGCGCGTCCTTGAGATGCACTCGGAGGGCCGCCTCGCCCAGGGCCCGAGCTTGTTGGCCCTCGCCGGTGCCCCGTCTTTGCGCCCCGCGCCCAAGCTCGACGCCGGCGCTCGCCCGCGCCTCTGGCGCGCGCCCGAGCGGGGTCGACTTCGCCCGTTAGCTTGAAGTCCGGCCTATCTATAGGAGGAATATTCGAAAATCGCAAAGAAAAGTCTGGGGACGATTTGCAGCACGTTCGAATAGGTTTTGATTTTTTTTCCCCTTCAAAATCCGCCCGAGGGGGGGCGCGCCCGACCCAGTGCTAGGGGCTAGGTTCGTTGCTGGTTGGCGCGCGTGGGGCGGCTCGAATGATCGGGCGCCCATCGCGCGGGCCAGGCGCAGCGCTTTCCGCGGGGCGCGCGTCGCGGATCTTCGCCGCGTCGGCAGCGGCGCGAGCGCTCGCGAAATCGTTGCCAAGAAGGTCAGGCGCGGGCCGTGCGCGCGGGCCTCCGTGCCTGGATGGCGCAGTTTTTTTTTTTTTTTTTTTTTTTTTTTTTTTTTTTTTTTTTTTTTTTTTTAATTTGGGGGGTTCTTCTTCTCCCTCTTTTTTTTTTTTTTGGGGGGGGGGGGGGGGGGGGCGTTTGTGTTCTCCAAATAGGCTGGCCCTATAGGAGTCCTAGCTCAAACCCTACTAATTGGCCCGTTTCCCCCCCTGCCTGATTCCCCAAATAGGCTTGCCTCATAGGA